TGTAAATGGGGTTTGAGACCATTTTAAGCCTCAATTTGTCCTCCCCCCCCCCCCCTATTATCGTTTGATTGATGTACTGGCCACCAGGGGGCCGCAGATTCACTTGGAACACACACACACATTCTATGTGTTGTATGTAATTATTGACAAATATACTAAGTCTGACATCTTCATTGACATTTTACAATCTTTCAGGGAACATCCTCTAATAAGCTCACTAAACAAATAGGGCATTGGGATATATATTTTTTAAATCCTTTGGAGCAGAGAGAGGAGCTGTGGACTATTCTTATTGATTACTGCATCAGTGTTTTCTTAGGGTAAAAAACACTAAACTCACAACTTAAAATGAAAGCGTTTAGTTTATTTAATAAAAGAGCACATGTTCAATGTGAAAAGTGACAGGAGATATAGATTAGTTGCAATTTGTTTTTTGTTTGTTTTTTAAACACCTTGAATTTCAAGGGGGCCCTAAATTCGGCATCATGTAAGTTGTGCTGACAGGTCCACACACTGCTTCCCCGCAGCGAGGCCCCCCCGCCCTCCTGTTGATAGTTCACGAGCGTCAAGCTCCTCAACGCCTCCCCCCCGTTGATAATTCTCGATCGTTGGCACGCTGATAACAATTTTTTTTTTTAATGGCACTTCATATCAAAAAGGTTGCCGACCCCTGATCTAAACCCTCAGAGTCCTTTACCTCACTGAGCTGTAGTTATCAGCCTCAATCCAACAACAATCTGCGGTACCGATGGGCACCCACTCTCTCTCTCTCTTGCTCGCTCGCACTTTGGCTGTGAGCTGCGGGCGCCTGATAAGTCAATATCCCCCACTTTCATCACTTACAGCGCCCATCGTACAGGGAAAATGAAAAGTGTAACCGGTGTGAAAAGGGTGTTACCTTGACTTAATTATGAATGTTGCAACAAGTCCTCCAACTCATACGACTAAATAGGTCGATTGTTCCGACCCATAATACGACCCACAGGAGCATTTTAAATCAACGGGAGCGTCAGCGGTGCAGGGATGATGAAACTTTGAAGCTTGTAACGGCATAATTACAAGCGGAGAACGGAGTAACTTAACGTCACAGCAGGCATAACAGCCGGTGTTTCTCGTGAGTGTTTTCCCCGGGAAACAAACACAATATACACAAACGCAAAAATACACACACACACACACACACACACACACACACACACACACACACACACACACACACACACACACACACACACACACACACACACACACACACACACACACACACACACACACACACACACACACTCGCGAGCTCCCTCCAGACCAGCAATCCAAACGAAAATATTTTCCCTCCGTACTACTTTGATCATTTGCTCCGCTAATAATCAATCAGATCGATGGATTCCAGAGAAGAGGAAACTTTAAAGGCCTTTTTCTCAAAATGATGACTCAGTCATTATATAATGTGTATTTGGAGTACAAAAACAATCCTGATATCCAGTGGCGGTCTAAAGTTACTGATAAGTCACATGTTTCCTGCCTGGCCGCAGACATCTTTGCCCGTGTATCATTACCCTCTCTCGTCTGGGCGCCAAGAAAGGAGCCCAAGTAAGTGCAGCAGCAGCCAACCAATTGCTGACTGTTGCTATCTGTAAACTATGCCGCCGAAACATAATTTCAGCCAATCAGCGTCGTCAGATCTGATGGTCATAGGACGCCAATTTCAGCGCCCAATGCAGTCTGTGAGTTGTTTGGACTCGTATCCAAGGTGATGCTACAGTAGTTGATGAGGATGGCTGCGTGTGCAGGTGGAGACTCCGGACCTCGGCCCCCGCCCAATTCCGCCCAAGCACTGTTATCAAATCCTTTCGAAAGGAGAAGTTTGGGAGAGAAATTGTTGGTTAAAGACCTTGGACCGGACCAACCCGATTTGTTTATTTAATTTATTTCCTTCTTTTCCTCCAGATGTTGTAGTTCTCTAACTGGCCTGTTGAGGGCCTCCTCTGCCTTCCTTAAACCTAAAGATCTCCATCACACACACACACACACACACACACACACACACACACACACACACACACACACACACACACACACACACACACACACACACACACACACACACACACACACACACACACACACACACACACACACACACACACACACACTACGGACAACATTTTTATTATTATTCCGCCGACTTATTTTGGCCCTCTTCTCCTCCCACATTCAACATCGCAGAAACTCCGTTCAAACATCAAAACGTCATAATTCCAGAGATACATCCCATAATTCATAAAATGTTTAACCATTGAAGTCAATGGAGACATTCTTCAGACTTCAACAAATCTTCATGCGACTTCAACTGCTAACTGTTCATTCATACTTTCACTCAGAAATCTCATTCCAACTTTAAAATGTTACACATCTTTGATGGACACATCTGTCCATCAAAGTGACCACGCCCTAATTTATGCAAACACTTTAAGACCTAATATAAATAAAAGGGTCGCGTTATAAAACAATTCACTCAACAATTCCTAATCATGAAGGTGGAATCTAAGTATATCCCGAATAATTTTTATTGCATCCAGGGGTAGAAACATGTTTTTTTTCTGCTGTAAAGTTGGGCATTTTAACATGGGGGTCTATGGAAATTCCTCCTTTCTGCAGTCATCGCCTATCGGCCAATAGATGAACTGCAGTTTGTGGCACTTCCTTATTGGCGTCCCGGCTCTGCCCCAGAGTTTGCCGCTTGGTCGTGACTCACAAATCAGATTTAGTCAGAAATCGGGAGAAATGCGGGATAAATATGACCCCAGGAGGAAATTAGGAGTCTCCCGCGAAAATCGGGCCGGCTACGTCTATAGAAATCTCAGTAGGTGAATGCTTGCATAGAGGGTAGTACCCATAGAGTCCAGTAGAGGGCTCCGCCTGTGTTAATATAACAAGGGTTACAATACGTAATCCGGCGTTTCGTCCTGCAGTATTTGGACACGCATCCATGTGCTCAATAATGCCACAACTAGAAATAATGTGAGGCGAGGAGACAGTGCATTAAAGGTGTAACACTTAAAAATCCCGACAAGATTCACGTCAAATATTTTCACCATCCAGAGGAAACATTTGGGACAGGATATTCCTGGGATGAAACACGTGTAAATGTTATGTTAACACATTTTAAATAGAAACAGCAACAGCTCACAGTATTCAGAGGTATTATTAAATGGATTTCCTTAACAACATAGTAAAAACTGTCTCCTCTCGGATCAAAGAGTTTTTACACTGAACAGAAGGCCGTAGTGACTGTGACATTACACGGCTCTTGCATAAAATGTAATCAGAATCAGAATACCTTTATTAGTCCCACAGAGGGGACATTTACATTGTTACAGCAGAAAAGAGCCAAAGACAACTTAATGTTACCTAAAGCATGCATAAAAAAAGTATTAAAGATTAAAAAAAAGAAATTATAATTTAAAGAACGTTACACATTTTACAAAATACACATCCTGTAACAGTTCTGAGGATTTAGCAGCCAGGTATTGCACAGTATTTAACGGCATATATATGTATATATATATATTGCACATAGTTGGTATTTAACAACAACAGCTATAGTCTGTGTTGTTGTGTGTGTGCGGGTCTACTAGGGGCCGTGGTGGTTATATAGTCTGACCGACAAGGGTGTAACTTTGGTTTGAGAAGTGGGGGGGACACAAAACAGGGGGTCCTCCGCAATGAAATAGTTTCTCAATTTAATTCCATTTCCTGCCTTTCTACAAATATATTAGGGACTATAGTGTTAACAAATCCAAGAAAAATGTGTAGTGTATATAATGAGTGTGCACACTTATCTAGTATCCTATCCATGTGAACCTGTTTTATTTGTGATTACCTGACATCCTCTAGGGGGGTCCGGGGGCATGCACCCCGGGAAGATTTGTTTCTTTAAATTGAAGTTGAATGCATCAATCTGGTGCACTTTGAGGGCAACATTAAGAGATTTATGGATACAGTTCTCAACACTCTTATGAAACAGAACTGTGTATATTTCAATAATCAAAAAGCCATTAGAATATGCTCACAACCAATAACAAATCATTGATAAACTCCTCTCTCCTATCTTTATCTTACCTAGTCTGCATTTTTTCTTTTTATTTATGCATATTTGACTAATCACTCCCCTTTCAAACTGTGTTTTTCATTTTTGTACTGACCTATAGATAGTACACATTGGAAGGATTTCTTAACTTATTTTATATACAACTATATATTACATAGATGGAAATATTTGTTTACATAGATGACCAAACCGTTTGAGACCCACTGAGATAACTAGACTAAAGTTTACAACCTAATCACTCAGAGAGTCCTTTACCTCCCTGAGCTGACGTCATCTCTCTCAGTCCCACAGGAGAGAGCTCTCCCTCTCCTTATTGTTGAAACAGCTTCTAATCTCCGTTAGCTCCGAGCTAGCACCAGATGCTAACAACAACCCACGTAACTCTCTCTCTCTCTCTCTCTCTCTCTCTCTCTCTCTCTCTCTCTCTCTCTCTCTCTCTCTCTCTCTCTCTCTCTCTGTCTCTCTCTCTCTGTCTCTCTCTCTGTCTCTATTTCTCTCTCTCTCTCTCTCAGTCTCTCAAAGTCCGACAGGAAAGAGCTCTCCCTCTCCTTATTGTTGAAACAGCTACTAATCTCCATTAGCTCCGAGCTAGCACCAAATGCTAACAACAACCCCCGTAACTCTCTATGTCTCTCTCTCTCTGTCTCTCTCTCTTTCTATCTCTCTCTCACAAGATGCGCTCGTGCCACACACACACACAGACGCTCCTCCGTGACGATGACCGCTTGCGTAAAAAAAAAAAAGATTAAAAAGTGGGGGGACACAAATGGGATTTTGAAAAGTGGGGGGGACATGTCCCCCCTGTCCCCAGTGGAAATTACGCCCATGCCGCTGCTGGAAGGAAGGACCTGCGGTATCTCTCCGTGAGACAATTACAATTGAGTAAGTGTTACATGATTGTGTGACATTTTATTTTGGAGTTAAAGATGATTAGGCAGGATAGAAATCAACCAGGTTTCTGGGTTATTAACAATATGTCAATTAGTCAGTGTTTCCTGTGAGTGATCATGATAGGAAGCAGGCTCTGCTGGTGATCTGCTCATGTGTCCCTGAAGAGGCACCCTGAGACTTGTATCACTGTTCGTTCTTGTTTTCCTTCCTGCTGCCGAACAGAGCTGTCAGAAGTCTTGCCAGAGCTAGGAACAGACCCATGACACCTATACTCAAGAATGCACCCTGAACGACCTCTTCTGCCTTACGCACCTGCACAGGGGAACAACAGACACATGTAAGTTAGTGAGCCGACTGCTTTTAATATTCAAAACGCTGGTCCTTTTGATGCAGTGTTAAATGACATCTACTGTACATGCGGCAAACATTGACTTTATTGGGTTCAACTTTATTTATTTTTATTCAGCGTTTTTTATATTTTTATTTTACTATGTATTCTTAAAAATGGTTCATACATTTAGTTTAACTTACATTTTTTAAATATGGTATGTTTTTTTGCCGGCGGCGACTTCCTCAACACAGATAAGATCCACAGTGAGGTTACACCATAGGACTTAAGGTTCAGAGACAGCTGAAAAATGCTTTTGTCAGTGTAATTAAGACAGCTGTCTGTCTGTCTGTCTGTCTGTCTGTCTGTCTGTCTGTCTGTCTGTCTGTCTGTCTGTCTGTCTGTCTGTCTTTCGAAGCTTCTGCAGTTTATGATTTGCTTGAACATGCTACAAATTCTGATTTCTCTTTTTTTTTTTACTTTGTTTTAATTCCCTCTCTACTTTTCCTTGTTGTAAAGCTCTTTGTGCTGCGTCCCTTGTGTGATGTATATACAAACAGTTTGCTGTTATTATTATTCCAAATATCAACTCACCTAAGACAACACATAATGTTGTTATGCTGTCGAGGGGGTTTTATAGATTTTGTATTTCCCCAACATGATACATTTTTTATGTGAACATTTTTTGTGTTATTTCTTTTTCAGGGAGATTTCTTTATAGTCCATTATTTGTATAAAGCAAGCACAATTACTGTATTTGGTTTATAAAGGTAATTATTTTTACTCCAGCCCCCCCTTAAAAAAAAGAGTCTTAACCGACCTGCCGGGACTCTGCTTTTCCGTAGCGCAGCTCGGTGGCAAAGTGCTCACAGTTCTTTCTGAGGACGCAGTACGGCACCTCTTTACCGACCAAAGCACAGGCGTTCCTCACAATGATGTGCGCCGGGCGGGGCTCGTACTCCTCATCCAGGCTGTTGTTGATTTTCCACTTGTTGGTTCCCACCACAACCCGTAGCTTGTCTTTCTTCACCAAGGCCTTCTCATGGGGAACAGCTATCATACTGCTGGCACTGTCACCCGCAACCTCAGCTATGAACAAAAAGGAAAAAAAGATATGTTGTGTGTGTGTGTGTGTGTGTGTGTGTGTGTGTGTGTGTGTGTGTGTGTGTGTGTGTGTGTGTGTGTGTGTGTGTGTGTGTGGGTGTGTGTGTGTGGGTGTGTGTGTGTGTGTGTGTGTGTGTGTGTGTGTGTGTGTGTGTGTGTGTGTGTGTGTGTAAGGGACTCACAGGCTGGTGCCGAGTGGGCAATGAAGCCATCGCCCACATACACAGCTCAGTGCTGATAGGGTCCCTTGAAGATCTCAATCAAATCCCCAATCTCTGGGTTTTTATCGTACTTGGATTAAAACAGACAGAACAAATGTTTGACTTTGCAACAGATGAATGAATGAAATGTGAATGATGATGAATGATGAATTTAATGCTGCATAATATAATATATCAATAGATAATGTGTGACATTAAATATACATTAATATTCACACCTGACCAAGCCAAAACTACAGTCAAAAACAATATTTACCATAAGTCTTATGGTAAAATCCTATCTTTGTGAAGGTTATCATTTAAAAAAAAATAGGAAGCTTTTAAAAGAGGCATCTTCTTTTTCAGTTGTTCATCATTTTTTAAAGTGGAGGCTGTAATTTGAGTTGCAGTTGAACTGTATCAGAATCAGAAACAGGTTTATTGCCAAGTAGGTTTACACATACCAGGAATTGGCATCCTTGGTGTTTGTGGTGCATACATAAACACTGTTAATGACATGATACTGAAAGTCGTTGTGGAGCCCGCACCCAGTGACACATAATACAAACATTTGTCAGTAGGCCACAACGTCATTCACTTCAACAGCACCAGACACTACAGCCTCCAAAACGATTATAATGTTAAATCAACACATCTGCTAAGGTTAATATAACATTCATAAAGGTCAAATGATTGAGGAACTGTTGTTTTATACTGTCATAGTTTTAACTTTATAATAAACCGACAAGCTTGTAAATGGACCATTTATTGTCAAAATATCCCAACAAGTATTTGTCATGACGGAAAGTGTGTGTTTCATTCGGTTTCGTTTTTACATTTTGGCAAACAAAATAAGCGAGGCAGCCGAAAGCTGCGAAACATACAAACTACACTGTGTAGAGCTTTAAAACACGCAGCATCACGATAACAGAGCCTCGACCGGCATGACAGTACACTTTGTGAATATTATTTGACTGAAACACAGTGTTCTTACCTTTAAATGTAAGCTTGGTTTTATGTCAGAGGCGACGTCCGAACCAAACCGAGACTGAAAGCAGAACTCAGCAGTTAGAAGATCAGCTGGTTGGTGCTGTGAGTTTATTACAGTAGCAGCTTTGCACTCCGCCCGTTTCCCCTCCAGCTCCTTCCTCATCTCCTCCCGTTTCTCAGCTCCTTCCTCATCTCCTCCCGTTTCTCAGCTCCTTCGTCATCTCCTCCCGTTTCTCAGCTCCTTCCTCATCTCCTCCCGTTTCTCAGCTCCTTCCTCATCTCCTCCCGTTTCTTCTTGGGCAGCTCGGCCTTGCTGAGACCTGGTTCACAATGAAGACAGACAGTTTAATGCAAAGTAGGTTAGTTAATAGCCGTCTAACAAGGACACTTCAGTAATAGTGGGAATCAGATATATTTTGTTCAACATAAACCATGACCAACAAAATTTTTTCTATGACTATGAAAATACGGCAGTAAGCCCTTGCTGTGCCTTTATTCAGCATTACACACACACACACACACACACACACACACACACACACACACACACACACACACACACACACACACACACACACACACACACACACACACACACACACACACACACACACACACACACACACACACACACACACACACACACACCACACACACACACACACACACACACACACACACATCCCTACAATAAACAACCACCTGATTTACCGTCTGTTTGCAGAACCTCAGGCGGCTAACTCACACCTTTAGTAGCTACTATACACCCCCCCCCACACACACACGTACACACAGAGGATCACAAGGGTCATTGCATCAACACATGCAAATAATCTGCTTTTTTAACCAAAGCATGACTGATTACGGCCCACGTACTACATTAAAAATACACAAGACTTCCTGAAAGAGCATCCAAATATAGTCGATGTTTAGCATACCTTTACTGGAAGGCTACGGGCTATGCAAACTCTTATCACTACCACGTATTATTATTCAAAGCAAGCCCCAACACACACTACATGCAAATCGAAGCCTTACTGTGCGAAAGCATGAAGTCCCACATATGCAAAGTTTTGCTAATCTGATTCTGTGAAACAGGAAATGAAGATATTATATACACAAGAAAGTGGAACACATTGCTCCAGTTTTGGGGTCTTTTACGCTGGCTTCCTGTCTGTCAAAGATAAAATACTACTGGTTTATGAAGCTCTGAATGGTTTAGGGCCGACATGTATTTCGGATTATTTGCTACACATGGAGAATCAGCGTTAGTATAGTGTTTGGAACCAACTCCCAGAAAACTGCAGATCTGCTGCAACTAGAACTCATTTGAAATCAAGACTTTTCTCTTTGCCGCTGCCTTCTATTAAATCAAATATTCATATCAACACAATTATTCTATTAAAGCTTGTTTTTATGTGCATTCTTTTGGCTTATTGGTTTTCAAATGGATGTATATGTCATGTTATAATGGGTTTCTGTTGCACTATATCTACTGTAAATGCCTTTAATGTTGTTTTTGCATAATGTGTTATATAAATAAACTTGCCTTGCACAAATGTATTGTTTTTTTGGCCTCTAAAAAAGCCTACTCTTCTATAGCACTAGATGTCATTAAAACAGAAACAGACTATACGTTTGGATGACTTTATGATGGGCTACTTCCATGTTTCTTTTCTGTAAATGACAATAGTATTTGCGGCTGATCACAGATCCTTGCTGCAGTATGTTTGGTCCTGTTTGATGTGGAGTAGATGCTAACAGCTGCTCTGTGAGGCTGACGGAGGATTAGCAGGGCCGGACTGGGACAATAAGTCAGGCCGGGAATTATACACCCAGCCAGGCCACTACCAGTTTTTTTTGTGCCATTTTGTTGGATTTATTTGTGAATATTTACAGCGTTGCTGCCCATAGTGATAATAATAATAATAATAATAATAATGGGTTCCATTTATAAAGCACTTCATATTCGAATTCAAATCCCGAAGTGCTCCAAGCAGTGAGCAGGAACAGTATAAATAGACATGACACAACACGGTAGAATTAATAAAAAGCAATAAAAATAAATAAAAATAAAAATAAAAATAAAAGGGTGGTAAAAAAAGGTCTAGGCAAAGGCTCTTTTGAAGAGATGGGTTTTGAGGCCTTTTTTAAAAGCCTCCACGGTCTGTAGTGCTCTCATGTGGTCGGGGAGAGCGTTCCACAGACTGGGGGCAGCCGAGCAGAAGTGTGATAGCCCTATAGTTTAAATCTACTACCCAATAATAAACATATGAACAGGGGTTACTATTTAAAACATGTGCAAATGTATTTGGGAACCTATCCATGCGAACATATTTTAAGTGGGGGTGGACCTCAAATCCTCAAGGGGGGTCCGGGGGCATGCTCCCCCGGTAAAGAATTTGTTTTTGGAGTTAAATGCATCAATCTGGTGCACTTTGAGGGGGAAATAAAGAGATCTATGGAAATGTTACGCCCCTTTCCTTTCAGATGGGGAGAAATTAGTGAATTAATTAATGAGTGAAAAATTGTGTTTCATCGCGTACATTTACTCAAGTGTTTTGCATCACATGACAATCAAAATACAAAATTAGCAATTCACAGAAATTGTACAAAAACATATTAACATGAGATTTCCTTTGAAGTATAAAATATACCCTTTTTACATAAACACTTTCTGATAATCACACACTATAATAATTCTTCTGTGTCACTATAACTACATGACTTGCAACTGTCACACATTTTTTATAAACAGCAATAAATTCACTAAAGTGCATTGAACACATTGCATTAGCAAAATACACAATAAAGTACACATCTTTAGCTTAACAGCTTAAAGGTGGGGTAGGTAATTCACTTCAGAAACACTTTTTGTTATATTCCATGGAATGCTCTTAACATCCCGATAGCAATGAATACATTAAATGCTTTGACAATAAATACATTAAAAAATGTCATCTGTGGAAGCCGTGGTGCTGTAAAAAGCACGACCAATCATCTGAGCCGGCCCGGCTAAAATAACTGGATGGCCTACCTGCCTGTCAGCCTTCCATCTGTGCACAAACTTATCTCGTGCCCTCAAATATTTTCCAGGGCCCCTAACTTTGACCCAGTTTATCAGTTCATACTGTCCTGACTGAGCACACGCACCTGTAACCTTGGCTGCTGTGCTCTCAGTGTTTTGTCTCCCAGTTCCTGCCTGTTGGCGTCAGCTGATAGAGGTGTTATCATTCTATCTTGTTATGCACAATGTTGATTCTTCTCTCTGAACTAGCTAAATAGACGGGTCTGGGGTAGAGTTCTTCAGAATTGACGTGGCAACTCAACCGTGAAGTCAGAACCTCTGACTCTGGACTTGTTTTGTGAATTCTCCGGCCGAAGCTCCAAATAAACCCATCAGTGTTTGCAGTGGCGTTTTTATATGTACAAAAGTGGTGGGGCACAAAAAACTTAGATGTCTATATATAAGCTTCTGCAGTGACGTGCAGTGAGGTTCATGGCTGGTGGGGCACTGGCACTGACTCTTCAGGTTTACAAATATTATATTTTGACCTAAACCAAAATATAATATTATTTTCAAAAGCTTTTTTTGTCTGATGCTTCGATTAATTTTAAACAGACAGTTCAACAAAAGGATACCCACTACACGGCCTCGCTCGGCCTCGCTCGGTATGGCTAGGCCTCGTTAGGACTGGCTCACTTTATGGCGCATTTCCATTACAGTTTAGGAACTGGGGTAGTATCTATAGTAACGCAGTGTAGACGGAGCCGTGACGTCATCTTCAATGAGAACCCCAGAAAAACAACACAGCCGTTAGCTGTTAGCACTCAGAGCTCACAGCTCCTCATATATGTTCAGAAACTAGACAAAAGTTAAACAAGTACAAACCACAGACTGCCTGTGTCATGGCGAATACAGTCGCTGCTTTATTTATGTCTGTATAGGCCGTTGTTGTGAGTGTGGACGGTCGGAGCATATACTGCGTTAGCTTAGCCAATCTCCATTTAGAAAACACGCATTTTAAAAGGTTTTTCGCCTGCCGTCTGTCTGCAGACTTGACAAAGCATTAATTCATGGTTTTTACTAACCGGTATCAGTATGTTGTTACTTCGGCATCATTTTGAAACGTGTATTACAATTAAATCACGGTCAAATATGTCCATCTTGTTGTAGTTGTAGCCCCCTTGCCAGCGATTCTCTCTCTAGTTTAGCATACTCAGCCCGACTCAGCCTCGTTGTCTCTGGCCCTAGACCCACGATTTTATGAGGCCAGAAAAACTGTGAATTAGGACCCGCCGGCCGGTACTAGGCCAAGTGGAAACGCAACCAAAAACGGGCCGCTGACGTCACAGCCCTCTTAAACCGTGCTCCGCGCTGTAGTGGAAACGCGCCATAAGTGATGATGTCACGCACTCTAAAATCTTAAACAGCCTGTACATTTACCAAAACGTAAACGTTGATAAGTCAAAAACCGTAAAAGATATCAAAAATCTGAATAAGAATTGAATAGCTGAAGGTGCTGTGATCATTTGAAAGTTGGAATGAAGTCTGTAGCTGAAAGTATGTGGAAGGAGTAGCATTTGGCGCAAGGTGTAGGAAAAGAGGATTTGAAGGCATCTCCCATTGACTTCCATGTTAAAAAAAGAGTTTAAAAAGCTGAATATTTCAAAAAGTATAAAATATTTTTAAAAAGTTGAAGGTTTCCCATCGATTCCTGAACAGGCTGAATAGTTTAATATTTGAATGGTTTCTGTAGCTGAAAATAAGCTGAAGTTATGGAGAGCCAAAGTATGGTTGAAATAATAATAATAAGGGGAAGAATAAAGATTTGAAGTACTATAGTGGAATGCTGTGGCACAGCATTCGCACTAATAAAGGCTCGATAATCAGCTCACGGCATATAGGTGTAAGTAGGGTGGTATTTTCTTTAAGTGGGGGGTGGACCTAACCTCATCTAGGGGGGTCTGGGGGCATGCTCCCCCGGGAATGTTGAAGTTAAAAGCATCAATCTGGTGCACTTTGCACCCACGCGACGGGTCTGGTTATACAGCAGAGTTTTATTTTTCAGGAAATGAAAGCTAAGCAGGCTATATAAATCCGGTGCAGCTCAACACTACACACTATATGAAGTCATGGGGCTGTGTGAGTATCACTTTAAATTTCATCGAGTTTTTACTTCGTACATTCTATTTTTAATTACAAAAAATAATAATGATAGTTACTTTAGCAAAGGTATTGATTAAGCCCGATGTTGATTTCGATATTCATCTTGTGTTTCAGTAACTGCAGCTTTAGTTTGCGGTGGAGCAGGTAAGACTTTTACATCTGATTGTAAACACACTTTAGATTAGATACTCTTTATTGAGCCCAAATTGGGAATGTTTACTATTTCTGACTCACTATTCATTTTGGAGTGGCCAAACAAATTGGCATTAACAACGTTTCCTCTGCAGCTGGAGCTGTCGTCGCTGCTCCTGCTATTCTGGCCGGTGTAGGGTTCACCTCCGCCGGGATCGCAGCAGGCTCCTATGCTGCCGGCATGATGTCAGCTGCTGCAGTGGTTAACGGGGGAGCAGTGGCAGCCGGAGGTACAGTGGCTGTTTTGCAGACAGCAGGTAAAGATCATCACTTTTATGTTTTGCATTTTAATCTTTTGGTTAAACTAATGATAATATGGTAATATAAGTTCTCAGTGTCTGCATAGTTGATATTAAACCTTTGATCCTTGCTGTAGGTGTAATCGGTCTGCCAGCAGCTGCCTCTGCAGGTGTGGCTGGCGTCGGAGCAACCGTTGGATGGATAACTGCAGTCCTCCTCATCTGAGAAATCATGAAGGAACATGATGAATGTGTACTTTGCCAAATGAAGGAGGAAAGTACAATTGACAGCACTTTCACTGACTAAACAGCACTTTTGTCATCTCATACAAAATGTTTTGTTTAATAAATCGGTCTTCTATTAAACATACTTGTTCAGTGTGTCGCCTGTGCATCTTTCCGTTCTTTGTTATGTCCAAGAGAAAGGACTAAAATAGTTCACTGGTTTATTAACTTCTTTTTTCTTGCCACAGTTAAGTCGGGCTGTAAAACCAAGCTGTAAAATGATAGCTGATGATGAGGCAATGCAAGTGTATTTATATCGCACCTTTCAACACAAGGCAATTCAAAGTGCTTTACAAAGAATTAAAGACATTAAAATAGAAACACATTTAAAAATGGCATAATAACTGAATGCTGCTTCTCCGTGTTCTGACTCTGGGGACAGAAAGCTGACCAGTCCCTGAAGACCTGAGAGTACTGGATGGTTCATAATTTAGCAGCAGATCAGAAATTTATTTTGGCCCTAAACCATTCAATGCTTTTTAAACCAGTAGCAGTATTTTTTAATAATTTCTTTGACACACAGGAAGCCAGTGTAAAGATTTCAGAGCAGGAGTGATGTGATCCACTTTCTTAGTGTTGGTAAGGACTCGAGCAGTGGCGTTCTGAATTAGCTGCAGCTTTTTAATAGATTTTTTAGTGAGACCTGTGACGACACCATTACAGTAGTCGATTCCACTGAAGATAAAAGCATGGACAAGTTTTCCAAATCCTGCTGTGACAATAGTCTTTTAATCCATATATTCTTATGGTGATATTATGCTGATTTAGTAATAGTTTTAATGCAACTATTTAAATGCAAGTCAGAGTCCATGACTACACCTAGATTTCTGGCTTCTTCTGTTGTTTTGAACATTGCCTACTGAAGCTCAGCTCTGACTTGTCTCCAAAAACAATTACCTCAGTTTTGTCTTTTTCTGATTAAAGAAAATTCTGACACATCCAGGCATTGATTTGATCAATGAGGGGAGCTGAATAGTTGGGACATTAACCTGTGGTTTCATATGTGCCATGTGTTTTATCACATTGGCTTTTCTCATTATAAACCAACAAAATACAGGATAAGTCAGGTAGGTGTTCCACCCAAGTCTCCCATAGGTATCTCATAAAAAAACCTGCCCATTAAAATAAGCAACATACTTAAAATAAATATTAAATCTGACCACGTCCACAATAAGACCTCTCCCTAAAAAAAAAAACAGGAATCACGGGATCATCCTATAGTTTTTTTAAGACATTTTCTAAAGTATCCATCTGTTACAGTTGGTAAGGCAGCCTAGACACTTATTTAGAAGCATCATCTAGGCACTCCTGAAAAAAAGAAGAAATGTAAATGGTCTATTTTATCCATATTCAGCGACCATATAGGTGACATACCAAAGGTTACGTTACCTCTGTATGAGGTAGTTGTTGATTGGGGGGGGAGGGGGGCAGCAACACCACATTCTCTCCATCATCCAACCCATCATCTGCAGAACAATAAAATACATGTTACTTACTCCCACAAAAATAGATATATTATATATTTGTGTTTTATAGCATCCCAGCTGTTTAAAGCTCCCTGACTCTTACCCTGTATACACATGTGGTGGGAGCTGCTGCCACCAGGGTCTGTAGAGACCCCCCCTTCCACCCCTACCATCAAGGGCCGACCCTCATTGTTGCTGAGGGCCAGCTCCTCGGCAGGGGTGAATTCTGCTGGAGGAGGGTCCCCTCCTGTCTTCCTCTGGTCCTTTTTTTTCTTGTTGGCTTCAAGCATTGGGAAAAAATGTGACCGCTTTCCTATAGAGTTATGAAACACAGACCAATTGAAGCAATACAAAACGTGTATGTATTTTTAAGATCTCAAAAGAGGGAAACTTACCAGATTGAATGATGTTTTTATATTTAATTTTAGTTTGTTCCCAGGTCCTTTTAGACCCGCCGGGGTTACATCATGGATGTATAATAAGAACTGGATACAGCGTGGGAGGCGGGGCCTCATTCATTCCTATGAGAGTTGCTCATTCGCGCATGATGATAAAATGCATAGATATATATAAACTAGGGCTGTCAGTCGATTAAAATATTTAATCGCGATTAATCGCATGATAGTCCATAGTTAATCGCGATTAATCGCAAATTAATCGCACATTTTTTATCTGTTCTAAATGTACCTTAGAGGGATATCTTTCAAGTTTTTAATACTCTTATCAACATATGAGTGGACAACTATGCTTTATATGTTTGTTTATTATCATTTGAACAATGACAAATATTCTCATGAATATTAAACACAACAACCTGAACATTACAAATCAACCTGGAACCTCTCTCATACAATAATACTGTGTGTGTGTGTGTGTGTGTGTGTGTGTGTGTGTGTGTGTGTGTGTGTGTGTGTGTGTGTGTGTGTGTGTGTGTGTGTGTGTGTGTGTGTGTGTGTGGAGACACTGTGATGGATCGTTGAGCTATGTGCAGCTCAAGGCATATATGCTCGAATGGGAGCTGCCTGGACGCTGCAATAATGTTGCGCTGACTTTTCGTACAATGTCCCACTGTCTGGCTACCTGCATAAAGTCAAGTGCTCGGCGCAGTTGTCGGCGAAATGTCATTGAAACAGCTCCTTATATCCGTTAGCGCAGCTAGCTAGCACCAGATGCTAACAACAACACGTAGGTGTGCCTCGCTCGCGCGAGTCGCGCCACACATACACACTCCCTCCCAGTCCTCCCGATGGCCAGTCCGGGCCTGCCAGTGAGCGTGGAAGTGTGGTCTGCCACAAGCGGGCGGCAGGAGCGGGGCTGTCAGCATCAGCTTGTCGATGGTATTTTACACTCGATGCGCTCTGAAACTACGGCGGCCGAGGACAAAATATACACATGCGTTAATCGCGTTAAAATAATTAGTGGCGTTAATTTTTTTTTGCGTTAACGCGTTATTAACGCGTTAACTTGACAGCCCTAATATAAACACTAGATGGCTCATGGGAGATTTTCCAGCGTAGCTTACTGGCCGCCATCTTGCTACAGTCAACAGCTACTCTGGTACGCGCTATGGTAGCTGTTGTAAGGTGAGTGATCTGCACAAAAATACTCTTAACTCGCTGAAATCTTGACTGATTTACAAACGGTTTGGTTTATTATAAACATTATTAGCATGGCTATGATACAGGATGCTTGGACATGTTGAAATAGTATGTATGTGTGTGTGGTTGTATTTATTAGCTGGCTAATAACAAGAGGCTGTGAGTGAGACCTAGTATTACAAAGTTGACCCAGCAACTTTACACCAGTGGGAGAGGCAGAACTGCTTTTTCTTTTCAACATAACTTAAGTTACACATGATTTCTTCCAAGTGGTTTGGCTTGTTAAAAACATCTTACATTTAGATACATTGTGATACAGGAAATTGCTGGCTTTGTGTTTACAGAAGTACCTGACTATGCCGGACTTTAGTGCAGCCTACGGATGCTCTAATCGCCGCAGTCTGGAAACAAGAACCCGTGGAATCACCTTTCACGTGTAAGATATGACAATATTATGACTATAATTAGGATAATCGTTAATTACTTAGTGGATGTATGTACATTACAAGTTCTGCTGCAGGATCAGTGGGGCTATGTGAGATAATAGTATTGCAAGATTGTTGTTGACCCAGCCTCTTTAGAATATGTTGCTACCATTTCTTTACACAATTATTTAATGTTTCTTTTGGACACCTTTTTTATAACTGTTAGTGTGGTTGTCTTATTCTTAAAGTATACATACATACATACAATTACCCCAAAAATATGATAATTTCGGTGTGTATTTTTGTCCTTACCCTTAATGTTAAAGGAAAGAAGGGAGGAAAATGTTGACAATAATTTATATATCTGGCTACCTTTCTCATGTTTTTAAGGTTTCCCAAAACCGGAGAGAGGAGGAGGCAGTGGGAAGTTGCCTGTGGCAGGACACTGCTCACTTCAGTTGTGAGGACTTTGACAGGACGGGGCAGACTGTCCGGCTTAAAGATGGTGTTGTGCCAACAGTATTCAACTTCCCAGCTCATATTCAAAGGGTATGTGTATCATTGGCCAACAAGAATTCAAGGTGTATAAGATTGATATATAAATATGTGATTAAATGTCACACTTTAGTTTTTCTTTCTGCAAGTTTAGGAATAAATAATGTGTTGTGTATTACAGCACATTTTAAACACTCAAAATGTCTTTAATTATGTTTATTTTAGCCGGAAGCAACAAGAAGCACAACCACTTCTAGAAGAGCGGAAGATGAACCTCAGCCTAATGTTGTGAGTATTCTGAATGTGGCCAAGACCAGAGAGATGGTCATTGATTTCAGGAGGGTGAGGACGTCTCCTCCTCTGCCCCTGTGCATTCTGGGAGAGGATGTGGCTGTTGTGGAGGACTACAAATACCTGGGAGTGCACTTAGACAATGGGCTGAACTGGAGGATCAACACTGACGCTGTGCACAAGAAGGGGATGAGCAGACTCTATTTTCTGAGGAAGCTGAGATCCTTCCACGTGTGCAGCAAGATGCTGGAGATCTTCTACCGGTCTGTTGTGGCTAGTGCACTCTTCTTTGCTGCGGTCTGCTGGGGGGGCAGCATCAGAGCCGGTGACACCAGCAGGATCAATAAACTGATCAGGAAAGCTGGGTCAGTCATCGGCATCAAGCTGGACCCCTTTGAAGCTGTGGTGGAGAGGAGGACACTGAACAGGCTGTTGTCCATCAGGGATAACCCCCCCCCCCATCCTCTCCACCTGCAGCTGGACAGTCAACGGAGCTCCTTCTCCAACAGACTGCTGCAGCTCCGCAGTGCCATAACTCTGTACAACAAATCACCTCTGGCTGGTAGATAACTCTCTGCTCCATAGTTTATCTTGAATATAACCACGTTGTACATTTTACACATATATAATCTGTTCAATATTTAAAGGTGGGGTAGGTAAGTTTGAGAAACCGGCTCGAGATACACTTTTTGTTATATTCCATGGAATGCTCTTAACATCCCGATAGCAATGAATATCTTAAGTGCTTTGACAAAAAGTACATAAAAAAATGTCATCTGTGGAAGCCGTAGTACTGTAAAAAGCACGACCAATAATTTTAG